AATCACGGAACCGGCTTTACTGACGAGATGCGCATGACAATCGTATGCGATTAATTGCACGGCCTTACTGTTGGCCAACAAAAGAGAACATTATAACATGTTTTTACTCCACAACATCAGTCAAATGCGTCCTTTTGTGATCTGAAGTGGCTTCTTATCACAGAATGGGCAGAAATATGTTCTATACTGTAAAAAAGGCTGTGTCGATTAGCAATGGATTATAAATATACTTAATTATTATGAAAATACCCGAGATGGCTTGAACACAGATAAACTATATATTGTCGCAGTCGAGTGTTTATTGTCTTCATGTTTCATCATTCAAAACATTTCTCTCCTTTTTCTTCAGTCACAGCGCTAGCTGGATGCTTTTGTCCATATTAGGGATTTCCTGGAGCGTCATGAGTTCTACTACTTCTGTGATGCATATGGGGAGTTTCTGCACGAGGGCGCCCTCTGGCGTCCAGTATGAATGAAACAGACATTACATGTGATTATAGCGCTCAGTAATGCCCAATCCATCCTTTTTTGGGTAAAAATAGGAAAAATAATACTTCTCTCAAAAGAAGTAGTAGACATATGATAATCCATGTTTTACTTCAGTGTACAGGATTTTTTTTTGTTAATTTGTTTTAGAAATCACATTTTAAATCACAATTCACAAAAAAAAACACCAAACAGAACCGGAAACCGTGGTTTAAAAACCAAGGTATGCATTGAAATGTGGGCTGACTGTATTGTTGCATCCCTGCCACGAATACTGACTACTTTGCTGTTATTAGTACTGTAACTGTTATTTAGTGTCACATTATTGTAGTTGGGTTAGGTGGCTTAGGTGTTATTGTGAAATAATGTAAATTTGTTGTGTTTTATGTTTACTTCATCATTTTGTGGCTCTTTTTTTGTAAGTATCGGTCCAGGCACCGTTTAGGCACGGTACCGTTTTAAAAGTATCAATTTGGTATCGTAAAAAACCCAAACGATACCTAACCCTAATTATGCCAGGGCTTTTCAATTTTTTCGAACCTCTTTGTGTGAGGGACCCCCATCCTAAAATTTAAAAGGGTTTTATATATTTTCTTTTATAAAGACCCAGTTTATACTGTGAAAAATTATTATAAATGTCTGAAATATTAGTTGGAAAATATTTTTTCTTTTAAGTTACATTATTGTTTTTTTTATTAAACAGTACATTATACATTATAGTACTGTACTGTTTTTATTATTATATTTTTTATTTAATAATAATTTTTAATTTTCTTATTTAAATATATTTAAAAATTTGTATTTTATTTTATTTTATTTGAATTTAAGTTCAAATTAATACATTTATTTTTTGTTTTGATCCAAATTCCCAGATTTACACTTTCGGTTTTGTTTTATTTATTTAAAGACCAGTCTGTCTTCTGTTTGTATTATTAATGTCTAAAATATTATTTGGAAAATATTAATTTCTATTAAGTTACTTTATTTATTTTTACTATTAAACAGTACAGTGCATATAGTACTGTACTGTTTTTATTATTGATTATATATAAATTTTGATGAATTATTTTTTATTTTTCAATTTATTTTTATTTATTTCGTTTGTTGTTGTTTTGGTTAGGATTGTTCCAATTTCCCAAATTGACTTTTTTTTTGGCTGTGTTGTTTTTATTTAAAGACCAGTCTGTCTTCTGTTTCTCATGACTGATACGGTAGACTTGCATTTATCAATAACATTAGTCACTCATTCCTGGTAATTTCTTTACAGGATGATGAAGACATTTACTATGAGAATTCCCTTGAATTTCGAAGAGGAGGAGACGGACAACCTCGCCGCTCTCGACCGACGCAACAATATTACCAACCACCACGTGCAAGAGACTGACACACGTTCACACACAGTCACAAATCCACACTCACAACCTTTCCCTAGCAAGGAAACTCCTTTGATTCACTCATTACTCCGAGAGAAAAAAAACAATTAGTGCTCTTTTGGTAAACCACACACTTAGGTCAGGACTAGATCAGGTTTACGGCTGTTACTCTTCTGCACTTCTAGCATTGTGTAGTTTCTGTAGAACAATATAAATGCAACATGATGTTCTCTGCCCATGCAGGTAATTATCATCTCGTTGTCCACAAGTAAACGACTCTTAATTGGAGAAAATTACATGCAGTTTGTTTTACCTTCTCAGAAGCATCATTATTAACAGCTAAATATATAAGATATGCTAATAGAGTGAATATCAGAATATTTCACCCCAAAATAAAAGAATAGGAAATTATATTTTGCATTGTGAGATTATTAGTGTATTTTTATTTTTAGGGCTTCATTAATAATTAGGAATGGGAATTATGAATAAATAAATTAATTTATAAATTATTAACAATTCTTATTACTGATTTTTCTAATGTAATACAGTAACAACAGCAGTATTACAGTGGTTTAAATCACTCAAAAGTAAAGCATCCAGACACATTTCGGTAATGAGAATTTGTAGGAAAAACTTGTATAATCATCATGAAAATGTCACAATGCAAAAAAATCTGAATGATCCTAAAATAGGCTTAATTTTCTTTATGCAAAATTGTTTATTTTTTTTTTTTGGGGTGAAATGTGATTTGGACATAAGATGTCATGAGATTCATTAAATAAGCATTCATAAAAATGACGTGCTGTCACATGACAATACTTTGGTTACATGCCTGAGTGAATCTGTGTGAGGTACTTGCTGCGCTCTTTTTGGGGTGAAATGTGATTTGGACATAAGATGTCATGAGATTCATTAAATAAGCATTCATAAAAATGACGTGCTGTCACATGACAATACTTTGGTTACACGCCTGAGTGAATCTGTGTGAGGTACTTGCTGCGCTGCTTATGCACGGTTTCATGCAAGTTATCAAAACCGTATCTGATACATTTGTGTTTGATCTCAAAGATGTTTTTTCAATTCAAAGACTGATGATTTGATCTCTAGCTGAGGAGATGAAAGAACATATCTCAGAAATATCTGATCTCTGTCTCGGTATGGGAGATGGATCCGTAAGGGCTTGCAGCACATGTTGCATCGATGAATTCTGGACTCTGTGAAACTTGCCATGCAAACGGCTGCTGTACACAGTGACTTATTTGTAAAGGACTTGATATAATTATTATAAAAGCGCTATGCTCTTTTGTTCAAACTCAATGCGTCATTGGTGTTTTACTTTTTTTTTTTTTTTTTGTTTTTTTGCAGTTGATACATTGAATTTGTTGGCAGTAAAGGGGTAGTTCACCCAAAAATTCTTTCACCAAACAGTTGACGGTAGCCATTGACTTCCATTGTATTTTTTCCATAGTTATGGAAGTCAATGGCTACCGTCAGTTGTTTGGTTACCAGCATTCTTCAAAATAATTTATTTTGTGCTCAACGGAAGAAAGATACTCATACAGGTTTGGAACATCTTGAGGGTGAGTAAATGATGACAGAATTTTTATTTTTGGGTGAACTGTCCCTTTAAATACTGTTCACACCAAGAACGACAAATATAGCAATGAAGATATTAGCATCCGCACCAACAAATGATATAGTTCTGTTTATTATAAGCGTGCGCTGAATTTTTGTCGCCTGTTGCGTTAAATGCTCAAGCTCTTTGAAGTCGAGTAGATTCTGATTGGTTTAATGTTTATCGTTCGTCAGCTGGGGGAAAAAAAATTATGAAAGTGATTCCAATTATATTGTTCCTCTGTCATTATTTTTATAGTATCATAGAATTAGGATAATTTTTATTGTTATAATTATCCTTGGTGTGAACGAGCGTTAACATAACAAATGTCTGTTGTGTAAATCGTTTTGAAATGAATTCGGACAGAAGTTGCCACATTTAATTTGCTATACATATGATTTATACAAATTTGTTCGGTCATGTTTCATGAAAAAGTCGTGTAAATGTAGTTTACACTACAAATTGCTTAGTTGTTGTACAAATAAGTGTTTATCATTGAAAAGTGTCTATATTTTAAAGAAATAGTTCACCCAAAATTGAATATTTGCTGAAATGTGCTCACCCTCAGGACATCCGAGATGTAGATGAGTTTGTTTCTTCATCAGATTTGGAGAAATGTAGCATTACATCACTTGCTCAGCAATGGATGCTCTGCAGTGAATGGGTGCCGTCAGAATGAGAGTCCAAACAGCTGATAAAAGCATCACAATAATCCACACCACTCCAGTCCATCAGTTAATGTCTTGTGAGGCCAAAAGCTGCGTGTTTGTAAGAAATCCATCAAGATGTTTTTAACTTCAAACTTTTA